AGAGCGTCACTCTGTTGCCCAGGCTGGAACGCAATGGCATGATCTCAGCTCACTGCAACCTCCATCTCCCAGTTTCAACCAATTCTCCTGCCTCAGCCTCCTGCGTAGCTGGGACCACCTCCTGCGTAGCTGGGACCACCTCCTGCATAGCTGGGCTAATTTTTATACTTTTAGTAGAATCAGGGTTTCACCATGTTGGTCAGGCTGGTCTCTCGAACTCCTGACCTCATGAGCTGCCCACTTCAGCCTCCCAAAGTGCTCCACTGTCTTTTATAGCACAGTCTTGGAAGTGACATTCATCACTTTCTCGTTTTCTTTATTTCTTTTTTTTTCTGCGAACAGGTCTTACTCGTCACCCAGCCACCAGGTCATGGCTCACTGCAGCCTCGACCTCCCAGGCTCAAACAAGCCTCCCACCTCAGCCCTCAGCCTCCCAAGTAGCTGGGACTACAGGCATGTGCCACCATACCTGGCTAACTAAAAAAATATTTTTTTATAGTGTAGAGTCTCACTAATGTTGTCCAGGCTGGTCTCAAACTCTTGACCTCAAGTGATCCTCCTACCTTGGCCTCCCAAAGTGCTGAGATTACAGGTGTGAGCCACTGTGCCCGGCTATAGGTTGGTTTTTGAATGCTAAGTCACCTTGCATTCTTAGAATAAACTCCACTTTGCCGTGGTGTGTTATCTTTTTCATGTATTATAAAATTTGGTTTGTTGGTATTTTGTTTAGGAGGCCTACACTGTTTTTTGTTTCTTTTTTTCAACACAGAGTCTCACTCTGTCACCCAGGCTGGAGTGCAGTGGCGTGATCTCAGCTCACTGCAACCTCCACCTCCCAGGTTCAAGCAATTCTCTTGCCTCAGCCTCCTGAGTAGCTGGGAATACAGGCACCTGCCACCACACCTGGCTAATTTTTGTATTTCTAGTAAAGATGGGATTTCGCCATGTTGGCCAGGCTGGTCTCAAACTCCTGACCTTAGGTGATCTGCCCACTTCAGCCTCCCAAAGTGGTGGAACTACAGGTGTGAGCCACTGTGCCCGGCCAGTGTTTTGAAGCTTTACAGTGTTTTATTATTTTATTTTTTACAAGAAACCGTTTTTTATTGAAGAGATGTCAGAAAATATGTTTAATGAGAAATCCTCAGTTAAAAAGTTTATTTTAAAAAAACCCTTATGCATGACCCAGACATAAACACAGTGAGCGTTTTAGTGTCCAGAGTGATTTAAAAAGAATTGAGCACTTACAAAATGTAGTGCTCAGTAAACGGAGTCACACAGAAATATATAACTAAAACCAATTTATAAAGAAACTCTCACCATTGTTAATATATGTATATCTTCTTTTCTGAGATGGAGTTTCCCAGGCTGGAGTGCAATGGTGCAATCTTAGCTCACTGCAACCTCCGCCGCCTGGGTTCAAACAATTCTTCTGCCTCAGCCTCCCAAGTACCTGGGATTACAGGTGCTCACCACCATGCCTGACTAATTTTTGTATTTTTAGTAGAGATGGGGTTTCACCACGTTGGCCAGGCTGGTCTCAAACTCCTGACCTCGCGATCTGCCCACCTCAGCCTCTCGAAGTGCTGGGATCACAGGAGTGGACCTTGCCCTTTCTATTAGCTCTGCCAGGAAATGGCCTTCCTTCTCCTGTAGGGCTGTTCTTTGTGCCTACGCTGTAGTAATTATATCTAATTTGTGTTCTATTATTTTAATGATTTATTTGCCTTCTCAGGTTCCTGATAGCTCATAATTCCTAGATCACTTCAGTTACTATGTAAGTCATTGACTTATTCAGAAACTGAGAGGAGGCTTGTTTTCCATATCATTAAATGTTGAGACCATCATTTTTCAAAGCTGCATAGTGCTCCATCACGTGACTGGGCCATAATTTAACCAGTTCTATGGTGTTAGACACTCAGGTTGTTGGAAATTTGGGGAAGAGATTAAAAAATTACCCATTATGGGCCAGGCATGGTGGCTCATGCCTGTAACCCCAGCACTTTGGGAGGCCAAGACGGGTGGATCACTGGAGGTTGGGAGTTCGGGACCAGCCTGGGCAACATGGTGAAACCCCGTCTCTACAAAAAATACAAAAATAAACCAAGTGTGGTGGTGGGCACCTATAATCCCAGCCATTTGGGAGGCTGAGGCCGGAGAATCACTTGACCCTGGGAGGTGGAGGTCGCAGTGAGCAGAGATCATGTCACTGTACTCCAGCCTGGGTGACAGAGCAAGACTCTGTCTCAAAAACAACAACCACCACAAATGATCTGTTATGGAAGCATTCATACACAGTGGTAGAGAGAATAGTATAATGCTGGCCGGCTGGGTGTGGTCACTCACACCTGTAATCCCAGTGCTTTGGGAGGCTGAAGTGGGAGGATTGCTTTAGGCCAGGAGTTCGAGACCAGCCTAGGGAACATAGAGAGACCCCCATCTCTACAAAAAATACAAAAATTAGCCAGGTGTGGTGGCACATGCCTGTAGTCCCAGCTACTCAGGAAGCTGAGGCAGGAGTATCACTTGAGCCCAGGAGTTCAAGGCTTCAGTAAACTAGGATTGTACCACTGTACTCCAGCCTAGGTGACAGTGTGAGACTCTGTCACTTTAAAAAAAAATAAAGTATAATGCTATGTACCCATCACTCAGCTTCCGAGTCCCCAGTTCCCCGCCAATCTTGTGCCATCTATGCCCTCCCCCTCTCACCCCTACTCTTGGTTATTTTGAAGCAAATTCAAGACATCATCATACTTAATCCATTTCAAAATGTATTTCTTTTTTTTTTTTTTTTGAGACGGAGTTTTGCTCTTGTTACCCAGGCTGGAGTGCAATGGTGCAATCTCGGCTCACCGCAACCTCCGCCTCCTGGGTTCAGGCAATTCTCCTGCCTCAGCCTCCTGAGTAGCTGGGATTACAGGCACGCGCCACCACGCCCAGCTAATTTTTTGTATTTTTAGTAGAGACGGGGTTTCACCATGTTGACCGGGATGGTCTCGATCTCTTGACCTCGTGATCCACCCGCCTCGGCCTCCCAAAGTGCTGGGATTACAGGCTTGAGCCACCGCGCCCGGCTCAAAATGTATTTCTAAAAGATAAAGATTCTTTAAAAAATTTCATAAAGCCAAAAAATCAATAATCCCTTAATACCGTCTGATCTCTAGTTGCTATTCTGTTTTCTGTTACCTCACCATTTTTTTTTTTTTTACTTTGTTTACTGAAATCAGAATCTGAATACAGTCTACCCATTGCAATTGGTTGATGGGTCTCTTAAATTTATTTAGGCCATGTGCCGTGGCTCACGCCTGTGATCCCAGCACTTAGGGAGGCCGAGGTGTGCGGATCACGTGAGCCCAAGAGTCAAGACCAGCCTGGCTAACATGGTGAAACCCCATCTCTACCAAAAATACGAAAATTAGCTGGGTGTGGTGACATGTGCCTGTAGTCCCATTTACTTGGGGGAGCTGAGGCAGGAGGATTGCTTGAACCAGGGAGGCTGAGGCTGCAGTGAGCTGTGATTACACCACTGCACTCTAGCCTAGGTGATAAAGTGGGACCTCGTCTCAAAAAAAACCTTTTAAATTTTCTTCTTCATTTTTATTTTTTTGAGACAGAGCCTTGCTCTTGTTGCCCAGGCTGGAGTACACGGTGTGATCTCGGCTCACTGCAACTTTCACCTCCTGGGTTCACGTGATTCTCCTGCCTCAGCCTCCTGAGTAGCTGGGACTACAGCCACGTGCCACCACACTTGGCTAACTTTGGTATTTTTAGTAGAGACAGGTTTTCACCATGTTGGCCAGGGTAGTCTCGAACTCCTGACCTCAGGTGATCCACCCACCTTGGCCTCCCAAAGTCTTGGGATTACAGGCGTGAGCCATCACACCTGGCCTGAGTATCGATCTTTGGCTCTTTGGATATATACCTAGGAGTGGAGTTGCTGGGTCATATGGTTAACTGTCTGCTTAACTTTTTGAGGAACCACTAAACTGATCTCCAAAGTAGTGACACCATCTTGCATTCCCAGCAGCAGTGGACAAAGCTTCCAGTTTCCCCACATCCTTGCCAACACTTTTTTTTTTTTTTTTCCTGAGACGGAGTTTCGCTCTTGTTACCCAGGCTGGAGTGCAATGGCGCGATCTCGGCTCACTGCAACCTCCGTCTCCTGGGTTCAGGCGATTCTCCTGCCTCAGCCTCCCGAGTAGCTGGGATTACAGGCACACGCCACCATGCCCAGCTAATTTTTTGTATTTTTAGTAGAGACGGGGTTTCACCATTTTGACCAGGATGGTCTCGATCTCTTGACCTCGTGATCCACCTGCCTCGGCCTCCCAAAGTGCTGGGATTACAGGCGTGAGCCACCGCACCTGGCCTAACGCTTCTTATTTTCCATTAAAAAAAAGAGATACCCATCCTAGTGGGTATGAAGTGGTTGCCTCACTGTGTTTTTCTTTCTTTCTTTTTTTTTTTGTTTTTTGTTTTTTGAGACAGGGTCTCACTCTGTTGTCCAGGCTGGAGTGCGGTGATGCAATCTTGGCTCACTGCAACCTCCGCCTCCCGGGTTCAAGTGATTCTCCTGCCCGAGTCTCCTGAGAAGCTGGAATTACAGGTGTGTGCCACCATGCCTGGCTGAGGTTTGCATTTTTGGTAGAGACCAGGTTTCACCGTGTTGGCCAGGCTGGTCTTGAATTCCTGGCCTCAAGTGATCCTCCTGCCTCAGCCTCCCAAAGTGCTGGGTTTACAGATTCAAGCCACCACTCCTGGCCCTCCCTGGGGTTTGGATGTGTGTTTCCCTAATGACTCGGGATATTGAACATGTTTCATGTGCTTTCGGCCATTCTATGCATTGTTTTTAATCGTTGTAAATAGTTTTATTCTGTGGGTGTGTCCTGATGTATTCCACCACTCCCCTGATATGGGACACCTAGATTATTTTCTCTGCCTCCATTTTGGTTTTTGCTTTCTGCTATTACAGATGATGCTGTGGTGAACATTTAATTAAGGATACATATGCAGAACCCAATGGGTGCCTCAGAGGTTATGCACATTTTTAGGACTTCCGGCATGAGGGCCAGCTTGCCTTCTACCGCCCTTCCCACCAGCCCTGTGTGCCAGTCCTCTGTGGCTGGACCTCAGCCCCTATCCCCTGCAGCCGGATCTTACCCCATCTCGCCTCTTTGTGTCTTCCAGATGCCTGGGAACCACTCACCTCCTCCTGTGCCATGAGGCCGCCTCAGCCCCAACACCACCCCCGTGTGCCCACCCAGCCTTCTTCCGCATCCACACACAGCCGGCTGCCCTTGACCCGGGAGGCCCCGGCTCTCCTCTCCCCTGCCCCGCACCCACCCGCCGCCTGAAGCCACCGGCTCCAATCGCCAACAACCTCTGCTTGTCCGGAAAACGGCAACGCGAAATGGAAAAGGCTACAGCCCTCTGCAAAACCAAGGACTCGGCTGCCTCGCCGGCTGCGTCTCCGTTCCTCCCGCTCTCTTGCGCGTGTGCTTTTGTTTTTTATTTCGAACAGACATTTTAAAAGGAAAAAAAAAAAGCAACTACCTTCTATCCTAGAAGACACAGACTGACAGATGGGGAGAAGGCCTGGGGACCTCAGAGAACTCTGCCTGGCCCCTGTCCCTCGCCCCTCGGCAGCCAGAGAGGCTGTGGGCGGGCCGGGGGTGTTGGGGGGTTCTGCCTGGTCCACGTTCTTTGTCGTCCCATCTTTTAGCAGCACCACCTGCGTGGCTAGGATGATTCATTATGAGGATGATGGTTTTTTTGTGACAACAGTATTGTGCTTTTTGTGGGGAAAGTGAGGTTTTTTTTTTTTTATATATACATATATAATTGATATCTTTTATTTATTGGTTGTTAACTGTTGCTGCTGCCTCGTGTGTCCTCAGCTCCCAGGGCTGGGGGCCACCGTTTACATGTGCACGCCCTGACCCACCTGCCCACACTGACTTGGGAGGATGGTGGCCTGCAGCGGCCAAGAAGCCAAAAAAAAAAGTCCTTTTTTTTTTTTTTTTTTTTTTTTTTCGGATACTGTGCTTGATTTTTTGGAGAGGGGAAGAGGTGGAAATTCCTAAATGGCTAATGCACTGTTCCCTCCAGCCCGATGCCTCCTGCCAAACCCCTTTTCCCTGCTGCCTCCGTCCCCTCATCCTTGTTCTCCTCTGAGTCCGGAACATATTTTTGTGAGGATGAACAGGGGACCTCTTCAGTGTCTCAGCCCTTGCTTTGGTGTTTGCCGCAGCATGGAAAGCAGCACCGAAGGCTGGGAGGCAGAAGAGCGGGCATGAGACCCGGGCAGCGTTGGGGGTCGTGGTCTCCGAAGGAAGTTAGGAGAAATAAAGGGGACCTCTGCCTTCTTGGGCTGGGAGGGGATTTGAAGATAGTTCATGACCCTCTGCCGCTCTGCCTTCCCACCTTCCTGTCTGCTTTTCCCAGTAAACTGCATGGTGTCCTTCCCTGGCCCTCTGTTGGCTCAAAGGCTGGGAGGGAGGGAAGGAGAAGAGTCCCAGGCAGTCCCATCGAGGTAGCCCCTACCCCTGGGGCTGTGGCCCCCACGTCTTCACGGAGGCTTCCAGCTCTGCCTGCCAGTGAGGCAGGGGTGGCCCTAGAGCCATCACCAGGAACGTGAAGCCGCCCTGGACCAGAGGTGTTAGCCCGAGGTCTGGCCCTCGCTCTGCGATTGTGTAAGCCTCCTGCGTGCTCTGGGTCTCAGGTGCCCCATCTGCAGAGCGAGGCGGCCTGGGCCGCTTGGTCTTGAAGGCCCTTTCCCATGCTGACATTGTGTAGTTCTAGGCTTGGGGTTCCGTTTCCTGTGCTTGGTGATTCTGTGGCCTGTGGCTGAGTTTGCCTGACCCCAGCAGGCTCAGGGGTCAGCCACAGCACAGCCCCCGTGGCGTCTCTTGGCCCCATCTTCAGACAGAGCAGTTGCTTGTGTGTGGGGTCTGTTCCAGCAGATGAATGTGTCACGTGGCACACTTTGTCCCTTCCTGCATTTCCTGGTCCCCCGCAGACCCTTGAGCTCCCTTTGGGGCCCAGAGCGATTCCTTGGCCAGGGAAGGCTTCTGAGGTGAGAAGCCGCTTCGCAGACGGTCAGGGCCAAGCCTGGGTCTGGAATTCTTGCTGCTGCTTTGCAAAGGCAACAACCTATCATCCGTGTTTTACAGGGGACACTTTGACCCTCGGTTCCCACCCTCAGCAAGCAGCCCTCCAGATACAGGATCTCCACTGGAGCGCCTTTGCCATGTGGGGCTGTGGGGCTGTTCCTGGTGGCCGGAGCAGTCAGCCAACCCCAGCAGTCACCCCTGAGGCATTGGCAGCCCCAATGGGGGCTGTATGCTGGCCCCATTATAACCCACCCCACCCCCTCACCAAGATCCTGCAGGGATGCAGTCAGTGGTTCCACCTTCACAGGCCGCTTTGAAGGGTGGACTCTGAGGCCCCTCCCAGGCAGCTCCCTGCTCAGCCGCTGGCCCGGGCTAGCTGGGACTCGGCTCCAATTGCTGAAGTTTCTCAGCTGGGCTCTGACCTGGGGTCGGGACAGGGGATGAACATGGTGGCTGGGGTTGAGAGGATGAGGGTCTTTCCCAGGTTGAATTACTTTTCTTTGGCCTCTGTCTGAGCCTCCATTTGCCCCTCTGGTCCAGTGGGACTGATACTGCTGTACAGCCGGGCCTGTGGCTGACGGTGTCTGGGGGTCAGCACGTGGACCCCTTCGGTGTGCCCGGCCTTCCTCCACCATCCTGCCCTTTGGCCTTTTGGTTTGGAGCCACAGGTGTGGGTTGGCCTTAGCAGATGGCATCCTGGCCAACCGCAGCCCAGTGTGCCCGTGGGCCCAAGCCTCAAGCCAGCCCCAAGCTGCTGGGAGGGCTACCCTTCTTCCCGGCCCTGACGGGGTGCCGGACACTGGCCATTTTCACTGGAGGTTCCTTGGCAGGGATGGATCTCTGCCCTCCCTCTTCCTACGCCTCTGGCTGCAGCAATGCTGCAGCATCCTCAGCCAGGTGCCTGCCGAGCAGCCCGTGCGCCTCTCCACAGTGGTGTTTCCACCTGATGCAGCTCCCTTCAGATGCTCTGATGCGGAGGCCAGCCCGTCCTCCCTCTGCAGAGCCTCACTCTGGGGGGGCCAGGGCAGGCGCCAGCCCCAGGCGGCCAGTCAGCCATGGCCTGGCTTCTTCCTCGTAGTGTCTGCGCCTCACTTTGTGTTGACGGTGGCTTGGGAGAATATTCCGATTTTCCATTATCTAAGCAGGCCGCGTTTAAAATAACATCAAGGCAAGCGTGCGTGTCACCCTTTGTACTGACATCTCTGCCCCTGAAATGCTTTTCAGTTTGACAGCCCATTTCCTAGATAAATGCACCTGGGGTTTCAGGAACTTTGTCTCTTTTGGGAGGGGGTTGGGGGAATGGTCGTGATACCTGGGATCCTTTCCTGGAGAGTCAGCCTCTCTCCGGAGAAAGCCTCCATTGCTCGCCTGCCAGGCAGAAAGTCACCCTGTTCCCAGCGCGGTTTCAGCATTTCGTTTTAAGGGAGCTAAGGAAGCGCGGGGCGCCCCCTGGTGCTGGTAAGCCACCAACGCACCTGGGCTGCACCCCCACTGGATGGGTGGTCTGGAGGGAGGCTGGAGCTGGGAGGCGAGGAGGGGGCTGTGAGTCCTCAGAGGCCCCGGGCCCCCACATTTCTGGCAGTGTTTCCCAGGCACCCCTCTGCTAGGCCATCCCTGGATAGCAAGTGAATTAACTTAAGGGCACTGTGATGGGAAGCCTTGCCCCCCCTCTTTTTTTTTAATATCTGCAGAATAAACCCAATGGTTAATTTTTGAATGAATAAAAGGCTTTTGTTGAATAAACAGCTGGTCCCATCTTCTGTCTTGGCATTTTAGCATCCAGGCTCAGGCTCTGCCCCCTCTGCAGGATGAGGTAGCCCCCGAGTCGCCCTCCCCAGCCTGCACATTCCCCCATTGTCCCTGTGTCTGCCGTGGCCCCCCGGCCCCAGGGAGGCCCACCTCACTCCCAGCCTGACTCAGTGGCCAGCTTCCTCCAGGACTTTGTGCAAGTCACCTCTGCTCATTGGGTCTCAGTTTCCCCATCCCTCAGATGGGAGCAACAGTCTCTGCTGGGCCCGCCTCCCAGGGGCCTGGTGCCCCCGAATGTGAGTGTCATCAACGAAGCCCCTCGCAGAGGTGGAGGTGGTGCCCAGGGGTGGCGGTTTGGACTGTGGTTGTCTCCCACCGGTAGCCTGCACTTGGGAGAGAAGTTGGTATAACGCTTGCAAAACTAAAGGCAGTGTCTTCTGGCTGTGGTGATTTCCTTTCCTGCTTGTCTTCCCAGCCTCCTTTGAGTCTCTTTTCCAGGTGCCCATCCTGTCTGAACCTGCTGGTGTGTGTCTCTGGGGCCAGTGTCAGGGCGAAGCTTGGGGGTGGACAGGGGCCGTGTAGTTTGCCCCAGCCTCCCCAACTCCTGCTGTATGTTGTCCGTGTCACGCCAATTAAACACGCTTCCTGGACCTGTCCTCGCCTCCCTGTGTGGGCCTGTTGCTTTGTCCGTTTCTATTCTTTTCCATTTCGTTTTAGGTTTCTTCCCCTTGTGACACCCTTTTTCTGGCTTTGGGTGTTGTCTGCCCAGTTTCCTTAAGAGAAAGAATATGTAGGCCGGGTGTGGTGGCTCACACCTGTAATCCCAGCACTTTGGGAGGCCAAGGCGGGTGGATCACCTGAGGTCAGGAGTTCAACACCAGCCTCACCAACATAGTGAAACCCCGCCTCTGCTAAAAATACAAAAATTAGCTGGGCTTGGTAGCAGGTGCCTGTAATCCCACCTACTTGGGAGGCTGAGGCAGGAGAATCACTTGAACTCGGGCGGTGGAGGTTGGGGTGAGCCGAGACCGTGCCATTGCACTCCAGCCTGGGCGACAAGAATGAGACTCCATCTTTAAAGAAAAAAAAAAGAGAGAGAGAAAGAATGTGCAAAGTGAAAACCTTGGGCATACGATTAAACCAGAAAAATCTCCAGGAGTGTTTTTGCGAGGCCAAGGGTTGAGCAGGGGGAGGCCCCGCCCATTGCCGCACCCGCGACATCCCTTTTGCTGCCTGTTTCATCTAGTGGAGGGGGCTCAAGAGGGCGGCTGCTGCTTTAAAACGGTCTGAAAACCATCGGCCTGGACCAGTGGCTCTCAAAGTCGAGTGTGTCTCACCTGGATTGGAGGCTGTTTCAAACCCAGCTTGCCAGCCTAGCCCTCGAGTTTTTGATTAGGAGCATCCGGGCCAGGGCCTGGGAATCTGCATTCCTAACAAGTTCCTGGGCTGTGCTGCTGGTACAAGTCTGGGAATCACCCTTGGAGACCCCTGGGAGATGTGTGCAATGCAGCATGTCCACTTGGGTCCTGCCTCCACTGGCTTAGGGATTCCGGCTAATCATTCATTCACCCCATATGACTTTTGCACCTGTGATGGGCCAGGTGCAGAGGGCCTTGAGACTGGTTGCTGACCACATGGAGGGTTGCGTCAGGAGGGAAGGTGGGGAGATGAGCAGCTACTGTGCAAGCTCCCAGCAGGCACCCTGAAAGACGGTAGTCTGTGTGGCTGCCCTCCTCCAAGCCGCCCTTGGCCTGGAACCTGGGATCGAGGAAGGCCCTCCTCTCCCCCCTCTGATCAAGTAACCCCGTGTTTGCTCAGCATTCATGGGGCCTGCCATGCTGAGGAGGGGGATCAGAGGAGGTGGTGCTTTTCACTTTCATAGCTTGTTAAAGGAACATGAATTCAGAGAGCAATAAAGACCAGCGTGGACTCAGGAGTGTAACTGCTGGTTAAATTCATTGCTCTTGGCCAAAACCTCTTGAAAGACGCAAAAAGAGTGTAGATTGGTAAGATCAAGCAGCCCATGTTAGAATGCACCACCGCCTGCAAACACAGGCCACGTTTCAGAGTGGGTTTTGTGAAAGGCATCGTCAGATCACCACCAGCTTCCAGGCAAAGCTGGAGGGCCCACGTGACTTCCGCTTTGGGGTTGAAACAA